GAGAAGTGGACAAAGGCGGATGATAGCAAACGGGAAAAGCGCGCGAGCGCATTTTCGAACCACTGTCCTTGCGCGTGGTACACGAGTGGGAACTTGAGCGCACCCATGTGCTTCCCATGCACTCCAAATCTTTCGAAAACCTTGTTTAGTGGTCTTCGATGACGCTCAGCGAGTTTCTGATGGGAATCGTACCTTTACCTTCAATAATCAGAGTGAAGTTAATCGACACATTTGAGTTGAATAACCGACTTATCGCGATGATTCTTCCCCTACAATATGCCCCCCCCCCCCCCCCCCCCCCCCCCCCCCCCCCCCCCCCCGCCGTAGACCTCACCTGCACACACCGCATTAGTGTAACTTTCGAGGCTTTTTTTAAAAAAACAATCTCTAAAACACCCCGTGTAAGAGCAATTATACAATTCTCACAGGTTCAGAATGGTGTGCACTTTCATCCATCTACGAAACTTTCATTCATCCACAAAAAGACAAAAAGGGCGCAGGCGAACTGAGCGAATTTAATCGCGTCGTAAAAATACCTGAAAAACGAAAGGAAAAAATAAAAAAAAGGGGACTTTTAACATGGAAAGAAAAAGACGCGGAAAGGTAATCGTTGAGACACTGTCTCTTTCATGTCTTTCGACTTGTTTGACCCGAGTCTCGGGTAGCTCGAAGGCACGACTGTCATTCATCGCTTCCTGTTGGTGAAGCATCGTTCAGATTATCGAGAAAACATAAAGGGGGCTGGGTGCGACCGCCTCGCACGGAATCGCAAGTTCAACTGTTGAGCCGCGACAGTGATGGACTCTTAGACTATTTGCGATATTCCCAAGCGCCCCGGCCCGCACTCGGGATATCATGGGAACGGTGTTCCTTCATCTCCCTAGAGATCGCTAATTTCGACCAATTCCATGGTTACACAGCTCTTGAGCGTAATTTGGAGTCACCCTGAACGAGCACCTGATATACCCCAAGAACCTGTCATATCACTTTTAAAATTTTTTTGACAATGTCAGCATTTCTGATACTGTGCATGCAATCCACCTTTCAACCTGGCTGAGCTGCAGAAATCTCTTACAATATTATCATTCCCGTGATTGTTGTTTGAGCAGGAATTGCTTTAAGAGCCGAGAATTCATAACAAAAACTAGCATTTAGCTCGGAGTCCGCGGGGCTGTTTATAGCATTTTCAGCGTTTCTAACTTAATATCAGCATGACCATAGAGAATTGTAGTAGACCGTTTTTCTCCTCCGCTACGGTATCCGTGAACAAAACGCCGCAGCTGTGCATGCGCGCCGCCAGCCTTCTCTGCATAGTTCAAGGTCTTGTGGCGGATTACGGAGCGCTATCCGGGTGCTTAGCGGGCTCCGGAAACGGTCTACTACAATTCCCCAATAACGTAAGAGATTTCTGCAGCCCATCCAGGTTGAAGGGTGGACAACATGCACAGTACCAAAAACGCTGACATTGAGGAGAAATTTTAAGAGCGATCTGACTGGTCATTGATGCGCTTGTTCAGGGTGACTCCAAATTACGCTCAAAAGCTGCGTAACCAAGGATAGGGTCGAAGTTACCGATCACTAAGGAGCTGAAGGAACACCGTTCCCATGATTCTTTTAGCGCGGGCCGGGGCACTTGGGGGATATAGCAAATGGTCTATTCAAAGCACAACTTGGAAGACCAGTGACATGCTGGTTCTACGCAAAAATAAACACACAACCCATTGAGAAGAGGGCTTCTTCCGGGTACCGTTAGTACAGGGGAAGATCGGAAAACGTTTTCCGATCTTCCCCCTATTAACAAAAAAGAAACACGAATGAGAAATCGGAGGCTTTTTCACTCGATCGCTCTAGAAAGAAGAGCGGGTGAAAACAAAAGGGCGAGTCGGCCATGCCCGCCACGAAGGCGGGCAAGCCCCGGCGAGCGGCGGTCGGGGTTTTCTCAAGGCCACTTCCGCACTCGCGCGCGCGAGAGAGCGCCAGTTAAGCGGCAGATGGGCCGCGCCTCTTTCCACGGCGCCGTCTCCTCGGGGAAGCCCCTTCGAACAACTGCGTACTCGTACGGAACAAGTGCTCGCCCGCGAGGCCCGCCCGAACGGCCTGCACGCTTCGCGAAGACAGGAGACGACCTCCGAGCTCGTTTTCACGGTCGCCACTATGCGTCATCGCCCGGAAGCATGACGCAACACTATGGCCACTCGGGCTCGCGGCCGCTTTCCTACCGTCAAGATAAGCGGCCGCTTCTGGCCATTCCGACCGCTTTCTTTTCACCCAGATCAAGGGCACCCGGGCTTTGACCTGGGGCTTCGACGGAGCCTTTGGGACACAGAGCGAACGTTCAAGGGGGGGCCTCTCCAGCGTTCGCTCTGCTAAACTCGAAAGAGCTGGAAGGGGTTTTCCCGAAACTCTTTTAAACTGTATTACCGCAGGAAAAAAAAAAAAAAATACACGCGCGGACAAAAATAAAATCACTCAACCAGTCGCGCCCGCAAAATCATTACAAAAAAAAAAAAAAAAAAAATAAACGAAAAAAAAAAAAACAACATACTAACGAGACAAAAATCCCTCCTCTTCCCTAGCACCTTTTTGTTTTACATTCCGGTTCTTCTTAAAGCAGTTTCGCGTTTTCCCTTATTTTTTCGCCCCACGGTCGGGCTTTCCATACAAAAATCTGGCGAAAGAACAAACCGAAGAGAGAAAAACTCCGGCGTCACAAAGAGGAGAGAAGGAAACAGATCAGAGGCTCCAATGCCGGAGATAAAAAAGATTCTTCCGACCTTTTCTTTGTGTTGGCGACGGTGACCTTCGCATTGGAGTTTCTTTTTGTTTTTCTTTTTTTTTTTTCCCCTTTCTCTCGTCTTTTGTTGGTGCTTTTTGCTGCTGCTGCTATCTGGATTCCCGACGAAATTGGGTCGCTCTCGCAACTCGCCAGAAAGAGAAAAACAGCCGCCTTTTTTTTTTTTTTTATTTGCAACACCCAAGAACACTTGCGCGTGAAAGAGCGGCTTGTTGGCAAATATATTATAACGGGTGACAGTGATACGCCGGAGAAAGGAAACAAAGCGAAAAAACAACAAATGATACGCGTGGACCAAAACAAATGAACACGTGAAAGTTTGGGCACACCAGCCGTGGCATTTCTGTCGCCGCGCCGGTGTGTCTCTCGAAAGTGAAGGCGGAAACTCGCCTGCCACGGGGAAAGTTCAAACGGTGGAGGCTGCTTGCGCAAACCGCGACACATACTTCTCATCCACACACCACGTTGGCACATTTCTACCGAAAGAAGCCACGCCACGTGCTTCCGTGGACTTCTGACCCTTCAGCGCTTTGATCGACACACTGTGCCGCTTATTGATGTAGGTCCTAGTTATGCTGCGGATAACTAGGACCTACAACAATCGGTTAAGCTTTTCCATCAAAAATCGCAGGCAGGAAGTAGCACACACAAACACTCAACCATGTTCTTCTCTCACGTCACGAGTCTCTACGTATAAACATATTATAAACAAGGCTGGCAACAATAATGCGCGACATGCACCGGCACACTCAATATTTAAAAATACACGGCATACACTTTAAAGTGGTTTTCCTGAAGTTGCACGGTGTACTTTTGACATTGGCTTTTTGACTGATTAATGTGCGTCTCCTCAACTTACGGGAGACTTTAGTCTCCCGTAAGCTGAGGAGGGTCCCAACAAAAAATTGGGATGCGGGGTGGAGGAGGAGGGGTTCTGACGAGATGTACTAGATGGACATTAATAAACCCCACTCTGCCCATACTCTACCTGCAACCCCCAAATGTCACATCCCTCAAAACAAGCTATTTTATTTCAAGATATGATTTTGATTCCACTAATGCTGGGATGTGGAGCAGGGTTTCAGACCATCCGTTAAAATCAGTGGGGGGGTCCGAGACCCCCCCCCAGACTTTACGCCCTGCTTAGAGACCCTGATGCAACCAGTGCACACTATCCGGATGCATCACCTTGACAACACTCCTTCGAACGGAAGCGGCGTGGACAGAAGCAGAAGCACGTGTGGAGGCACACTTCTCGGCGTCTGGCCATGTGCTCTGAAAGTGTCGTAACAGGGGAGCTGCTACCGTGCGCGTCCGAATCTCAAATGGGAGTGGACCATCCAGCCGATCGCCAAAGTCAAAATCAAAAGGGCTCTCCCCGGGCGGAGCAAGGTTCTGTGGGGGCTCCACTGCCGTGTTTCCTTGCCAGGTAGAGCAAGACCGACCGAGGAGGAAATAAATCGTTCGCCCTTGGCCGCGCCGACCTTCAATGGCACGCTGGAAGGATTCACGAGCGCAGACGCGCATCCCGCACCTACTCCCGACAATGCAGCAAGTCCAGAGTCGTCTGCCCTCCTCCACCACAAATCCGCCATCCCAACAATCAACATGCACACGGCGGATATTCAAGGTCGCGGATGTACCCATACAATACTTCATCTGCTTTCTACCGTTGCGTCACCGGAATAACTCGAGCGCCCGCTTTCCTGCTTGCTGGCGCTCGTTTCTTGTATCCGCACCAAAGGGAAAAAGAAAGAAAAAAAAGACCTGATTTCTCAGGTTTCCGTCGATCGCGTGCACTGGGTTGGCGCGTCGTGGAGGTCTGCCGGCAACGCCGAAAGTAACGGGAGACAGCGTCAAGTGATCCCCATGGCAACCGCGTAACGGTGAACGCAAATGATCGGGGCTTTCTTAATAAGCACTGATGATAACTGGAACCAAGTTTCGGCTAGCAGACGCTAAACTCGCAGGGCACATCGTGACATTCTCCGTAAGCCTTTCGTTTCCAACGCGAGCAGACATGACAGACCGCGCGCTCGCTAAAAAGATCGACGGAACAAAAAAAACGTTTCCGCCCAGTTTGAATGGTTAGCAAGCGTCGCCCCGAACGTTGTCCGCACTTCTGCACTCGCGAAAAGTAATGTCACTCTCCAAAACGACAAATATGAACGCGAGAATACTGAATGATAGCTGCAGGAGCGCTTACGGTAATCACCCGGGATCTTGCGTGTGATATCTTCCCAAAAACTCGGTGGCAGTCGGTCGCTTGAGCTCGAACGGACGTCGGACGATACTTGGTCTTCGGTGGCTTCACTCGTTTCGAGATTTAATTCGAAAACGCACCGTATTTTGAGTTAGTTTGCACACAATCGGGATTTGTTTTGATTCTGTAGCTCACAGCAATCACATGACTTCTTTACCAATCGACGCAGCTCGACCAATAGGAGAGCCCGATTTCGTGAATTGCTCCACCTCTGCGGGAGCAGGTATAGAGAAAATGGAGTCGAGCGTTCCAAGTTTTGGAGTGTCGCTCGCTGTTGGAGGTAGCTAGGAGGGTATCCAGGAGCGCTGGCTCCGTGAAATATGTTGATTGAATAATATGACTCGTTTTATAGATAATTCTCCGCGCGAATCGCGTCGAAAGGGCCGAGGAACTTTTGTAAACAATCTTGAGCAGCAGTTGTGACGTCAGACGTGACGTAACGTGTTTTGGTAGTAGCACGTGAGGTCACCTTCATGAGGTTAGAGTCATCTAGCGGCGGTTCTGGAAAACACTAAAAAATTCTCCGCCACCTGGTGAGGCGGGGCGGAAACGGGCAACAAAAGAAAATGCGTTACTCTAAGAACCCTACCCGTCAATAATAACCCTATTCATCTTGTTTCTGTTAAACATCCTCCCTCTTGGTTGACTCCTCACTCCGGCAAGGTGATTGATTTTCATTCATTCCTACCGAGCTATTCTGTGCTAGGTTCGTAACGTTGAGCTACTTGTTTCGCTTGATGAGCTCATTTGTAGACTTGCGTCAAGTAATTGAAAAATAGAAATAATTTGACAAGTCCGTTTCTGTCGTCCATAAGTAAAATTTCAGTATGGCTGATGGGGTTAGTTAGGCCTAATCCTCAGGAATTAGCATTTTCTCGTCGCTTTCCGGTGCTCGCGGCCCATGGGACCTTGGTTGGCGCAGTTTAGAGAGCCAACATGTGCATGACTCGGGACGATGGAAATTAGTGAACGTAGGGTTAAGCAAGCGTCGGATCGGGCGGCTCGGTAGACGAGCCGACCTATTGATTGTCGCCAATTGTCCCCGCCGTCCGGGCCGTCGTTTCGGGACGCCGGAACCGCCGCATCGCGCTCGCCGAGTCTCGGTGAGTGCCGGGGGCCACCGGGGTCGTCCCGCGGTGGCCGGCCGCTGGTCAGAGCCGGACTGCTCGCACTCGAAGCCCCTCGGAACTCGGCCGTCCGAGCGGCCGCAGACCCCGCAGGCTCGCTCTCCGGCTCCTTTGTCTTGCCCAAGGACCCTTCGGCGGACCCCCCGAGCCGCCGGGAGGGCCACTTTCAACTTTTCCGGCCTCACTTGCAGCTTGTGCACAAAGGGGTAAAAGGTTCGCTCGCAGCGGCCCCTTTCTTTTTTTCTTTTTTTTTTTGCCCTCCTCATTTTTTGTGCGCGCCTCTCCTCTTCCGCATCCTTTTTGCCGGAGGAGGAGGGGAATGCTGGACGCGCAACATCCGTGCCGCCCAAGGAGCAAAATGTGCAACAATCGCGTCTCGGTCGGTCTTGGAGACGCAAAGGGCTGGCGTGCGGGCGTCCCCGTGCCGGCGTCTGTCCGGGATTCGCCTGCTGCCGCGGCCTAGCTTCGGACGCCGAGGTGCGTCTACTTTCTTTTCCAGGGAGGCGCTCTTGGGTCACTTTGCTGGATGTCGTGAGCAAGAGAGGAAAAGTCACGCCTATCTTACCCACTTTTCCAGAAATAGATGTTGCATCGTTTCTGTTAAAGGTTTTTCTTCACACCCCTGATTTGTTTTGTTTTTTTTTTTTTTTTTTGTTGTGGGCCCGTTGATTTAGTGCAATCGGTATATCCACGGAACATGCGCGCAGTAACGTTTGCTTGTTCTCCTGCCTCGAGGCAAATATAAAAAGTTGTCTTTTTCAATATTATTTGAGGCACAAAGGGCTTTGTAACGTTTTTATTTGTTAGGAAGAAAAGTCAACCAGTGGTCTTGTGCGGATGATTGGTTGCAGCATGTTTATATTCAAGTTGCCAGCGCAAAAAAAAAAAAAAAAAAAAAAAAATCAGCGGTGCTATTTTTCCTTACTATGTTTATGTTAAAAAGGGTTTGTTTTTAAAATTGCACCGGAGTAATGCGATGCATGCTCGGTTCTACATGTCAGGACGAGACTGGCTTGTCAACAAGCTGTTTGCTTGCTCCCCCCCCCCTCCTTTCTTTTTAAATTAGCCATTTGGAGCACATTACAAACGTGTGTAGGAGGAATTTTACCACAAATAGATCCGGTGCATTTATGGTATTAATAATATGTGGTTACATGCCTCAAAGGTCAATGTATTTTGTGAGCATGCCTGGTGTTGCTACACAGCTCATGCAATCATGCCATGTGGTTCTGTTCTACAACAATTGAGAGATTGAATGTAGAGTCTGTGGCGATGTTGACTGGCATTGATGGGCAGGGTTGTAAAAGTTACTTCACAAATGTACTGAAGTTACAGCTACTTATACGAAAAGATACCTAGGAACAGGTAGTTACTTCAAAGATACTTTCTTTATTTTCCCCAAATTTGTCAGAATATATTGGAAGTAAAGTTTTTTGTACTAAGGATACACACAAAAACGAGTTCGATAAGTGTGCTTTATTGGTGTCAATGCAAGAAATAAGGAAAACCGCATTCACATGACCATTCCAGGACAAATTATCTCTTTCACTTAAGTGCTCTATTTGACTTTAGAATCAGGACCTCCTCAAAGTGTTGATCTGACATCTTTGATCGCAGTTTAGTAGCAATTGTTCCTCCTGTGCTAAAAACATGCTGCACCGCCGCACTGCTTGGAAGCCCAGTGTTGAGTTTTAAGGGCACGCTTTTCAGCAGCGGCATGTGCTTGAGACACTCTTGACTTCTTGTCTGAGCAAGTTTAGTTATTTGTACAAATTCCTGCTCCCAGGAAGCAGATAAGGACAATGTTTCGAAGTTAAAGAAGTGCTCACAGTCCTTCGTCATCACCACTTTGTTCGCCTGACGACGCTTTTTCCATAGTTGATGTTTGCATAAATTTGTGTCGCTAGAACGGCATCGCTAATCCACCATTGTTCAAATGAGCACCGCCATTCACTAAAGTGTTGTTCGATAAAACATCGCGGGCGGGGCTTCGTTTGCTGAAACGTCGTTCGATCAAGTCAGTGCCTCCCAGGTCGTGCCCAACTCAACGTTAATCAGGGCACATGGTAGTGTGTTATTTCTTTGAAATTTATAGTTTCAACCATTTTGACGAAGTGAATAGAAAAGTACCTCTAAAAAGTAACTTCATTTAGTTAAAAGTTGCTGGTAAATGTACCTAAGATACAGATATTGAGAAAATAAAATGCCTAGGTTTGTACCTCAGGTACAACAAAAGCACCTGGATGCTGATGTCCAGTTACTTGTACCTTGGACTTTACAACCCAGTTGATGCGCTTTGCACGAATATGCATTGATCAGGGTGTTTAGCGACCGGGAATTGTCAGGGAAATTTTAATGATGAGGAAAAATCGGGGAATTTTCAGGGATATTTGTCAAAAAGCGAGTCCAGTCAGGGAAAATGAGCTGGAAACGCCATTAAGTGCCCTGAGCAAAAACTTGGAATTGGGTGGCAGAAAGAAGGCAATAAAGTCTGCTTAGAGCGGAGCGCGGGCTCTGCTCACCCGATGTAGAGTGTTGCACGATGCAAAGGGAACAGTCGGCCAATTTAGTCCAAGCCTTGGATTGGGTTGGGTTGAGGGCACAACACTAGGCTACATCCAGTTAGAGATACTAGATTTAGTAGCAAATGGGAAAGCTGCAGACCCCAATCCAAGCCTTAAGCCGAAAGTATACGAAAGTGTGTGCATCTGGCGGCCATGCTGCCATTCGGTTATTGACCTGTGTAACTGAGCGTCATGTTTTCATCGAGTTTCCCTTCCGGAAGTGGCCTCTTCACTGACGATGTTGGCGGCAAGAAAGTGCTCGTTTAATTCGGATGGGACAAACCCAAATATTTCGGAATATGCATGTTGGATTAAGCCTGTGCAAAATGATTCTCACAGTGCTCAATGCCATGTGTTGTGATGGTCATATATTTAACCGCCTCTACAGTGGTCAGGGAATTTCATCTGAAATTGTCAGGGAAAGCCTGGAAAAGACGGGAAATTTCAAATTAATAATTTGCTAGACACCCTGATTGATGTAATTACTGCTGCGCGATGCACGTTAAAGACATTAAGTTCGTACTGTGCTGGTCAAATCGCCCCTGTGCAAATTAGACACACATTGCCGCCTCTTGAGGGGAGTAACTTCCTGCTATCCATACATCAAATTTGATGTTCAAACTTTTGATGGCTGCAAATTTTAATTGCAAAAGGGAGACGGCTGCTTATTTACTGGTCCTATTTCGAAGTCTGCAGAGAGTTTCGGAGGGATTGGGTTTGCATTAAAAACAATGGAGGCCTCGCCAAGGGGCTGCTAAATTTCACACGAGAGTTGCCCTATTGCACCAGTAACTGATGTTACAAGGAGGAAAACTGTACCCAGTTTCAGGTTAAGAAAAACAGGAGCTCCGTTCTTTCCACTTTAGGAGGCAAGTGGTCTCTTCCTTCTCTCCAGCATTTACTCGATCATGTCAAAGGAGTAGAGGGGGTAGTGTTGGCGATTTTGCAAGCTCATGGCAGCGATGCGAGAAATTTGCACCAACATTGCGGAAAAGCTGATTTTCCTTTATTAATACTGAAAGTATAATAAATTGGGCCCTGCTACATGGCCGGATCATTACGGTAGGCTTCTGCGAATTTCCAAGACTTTCGATTATTGCCTCAAATAACATCATATTCAATTTGCCCGTTTCGCAATATTTCTCATGCTCGTCTGTTCTGGGTGGATAGCTAGCATCGTTAGTGCGCCTGTCACCATGCGGTGGTGTACTCCAGTCAAGCAACAACCACATAGCAGGTGTTGCAATTGTGTATATCTTGCTTCGCCGCAGCGCACCGGCGTGCTAGGGGGAAGTAGTCCTCCAGAGTGGGATGTAACATGCAGTTTGTGAATAAAACTGCAGTCAGCTATACTCGTTTTCACCTCAAGGACAAAAGCAGGTTTTGCACATTGTTCATATGCTGTGCAACGAAGGAAGAAGGTGCTAATGGCATTCGAAGCATGTACGTCTTGATATATCTAATCTAAAATGCACCTACATGTATCTTAATTTTCTGCATAGAGGGGGAGGTTAGGAATGCTTGGCGAGGAGCCAGACGTCTTTCACTACGGTTCTTGAGGTGAAAACGAGTACAATATATGTAATAGACTGCAATATTCTGACAATACCTTTTTCACGTTCAAGATTCATCCATTACGGCTTTGTTAGTTCATTTTTATGTCAACTCTCGTTTAGCTGTTACTGTAATATAAGTGTGTTCGGATAACCTGCAGTCATGAAAAATTTGTATAATACTAGTATAGTCTTTTTTACTGTACTTTGCTAGCGTAATTTTTTTTTTTTTATTGTTGAAATTTTATGGACTGCCTGTTTGCACACAAGCTTGAAACTGCTTTGTAAAACAGGATGCCTTTGATTTAAAAAAACAAAAACAACTGGATATGAACTTATTATTTTAATTTATATAGAGTACATACATTCAGTGACGTGGGAATGCAGTGAATTAAAACTAAATTAAGCTGCATCAGTAA